TAAACAGGAAAGAGAAATCATAAGGGACTTAATAAGGTTAAACTGTTTACATTCCTACATGGGAAGATGATGTTTATAACTCATAAGACCTTTCTCATTATTAGGGTAGTTAGAAGGAGTATATATAGACAGGAGGGTACAGGTGTGAGTAGAATGTGAAGGCATGATATCTCAAAAATAAAATTAAGGACAGGGGAATGTACTGGGAGAAAGAGAAAGGGAGAGGTAGAATGGGGTAAATTATCTCACATAAAAGAAGCAAGAAAATGCTTTTACAGTGGAGGGGAAGGGGGGAGGTAAGGGGGAGTGAGTGAACCTTACTCTCATCAGAATTGGCTCAAAGAGGGAATAACATTCCCACTCAATTGGGTATAGAAATCTATCTTACCCTACAGAAAAGCAGGGAGGAAGAGGGAAGAGAAGGGGAGAGATAAAAGGGAAGGCAGATTGGGGGAGGGGGAAGGCAGAAGTAAAACACTTTTGAGGAGGGAATGGGTAAAAGAGAGAGAATAGAATAAATGAGGGGGGCAGGATAGGATGGAAGGAAATACACTTAAGTCTTTCACAACATGACTATCATAGAAGTATTTTGCATGACTACACATGTATCACCTATATTGAATTGCTTGCCTTCTCAATGGGGGGGGGAGAAAGGGAGAGACTTTGGAACTCAGAAGTTTTTAAAATTAATGTTAACATTGTCTTTACATGTAACTGGGGGAAAATAGAATAATAAATTTTAAAAAAGAAAAAAAAACAGCAGATGTTGATCGAGGGAAGATCGTAGGACCCCCTGTTGTTTCCAGAAGCCAGACTCGGCTGTGCTGACCACATGGAATCCCAGGCTGGGGCTGTGGGGGAGAAGGAAAGCACCTGTCCAGTGAATGCAGTACAACGGGGAGCAAGAACATTTTCTGGACAGTGTGGTTGTGGGGGGCCTAACTGTGGCTTAGGAGAGGAGGAGAGGAGTCCCTAAGGATGAGCCCCCAGACAGAATTCTGAAAGCAACAGTAAGGAGGACCTGAGGCCTAGAACAACATTACCCACGATTTGGGATTCACACTTGATTATAATAATATTATGTGCTAAAAATAAAAAATACAAATTAAAAATAAAAATGAGTAAGCAAATGAAAAAGACCCCAACCAATGATAGCTACTTTGGTGTAAAAGAAGATCTGGGTTCATATTCAGAGGAAGATAGGTTTAAATAAAAAAGCTACTCCTCCCCTAAAGAGTAATGTCAAATGATCACAAGCTCCCCCTCCCCTGAAAAAAATCTTGAAGGACTCAAAAAGGAATTGAAAAATCAAATAACAGAGAATGAGTAAAAAATCAGGGGGAAAAAAGGTTGCTGGTGCTGCTGCTGCTCCTGCTGATGGTGGTACTACTACTAGTATTTACCTCTTTAACGTTTGCAAATCCCTTTACATATGAATTTTTTTTTTATTAGTTAGCCAGTCAGTAAACATTTATTAAGTGCATGCTGAGTGCCAGGCACTGGAGATATAAAATAAAATATGACAGCTCCTCCCCTCAAAAAACTCACAACATACAGAGACAACGCAAAAAAAAAAAAAAAAAAAAGAGGCTGAAATTATGTGGAGGAGGCGAGACAGTGGAGTGGAAGAGTTGATTTCATCTTGCTGAATGATGAGTTTCTGGGAATATGAAATCCAGTAAGTCAGCAGGGTAGGAAATGATGAGATCGATTCCCTGCGTGTCCTCAGTAAATGATAGAGGATTATAGGATTATAGGGTGGTCATTCTTCTTCCTAGGCAGCCCATCCCACTTTTGGACAGCTCTCCGTGGTAAGAAGTTTTTCCTGACTTAAAAACCATGTTTATCCATCATGAATGTTCCTTCCTAGTTCTGTCTCCGGTCAAGCAAAACAATTGACACTCCTTTGGATACTTAAAAACAGCCCTCCCCCAGACAAAACATGCCACAAACCTTTAACCAACTTTCTCACAGCATAACTGAAGGCACGTGTTCAGTAGACCAGTCACCTCTGTCTGCGTGCTCTCTAGCTTGTCAGTGGTCTTTCAAAAAACGGGGTGCTCAGGGGGCAGTTAGGTGGTGCAGTGGATAGAGCACCGGCCCTGAAGTCAGGAGGACCTGAGTTCAAATCTGGCCTCAGACCAAACACTTGACACTTACTGTGTGACCTTGGGCAAATCATCCAACCTCAATTGCCTAAAGTTAAAAAAAAAAAATGTGGTGCTCAGGACTTATCAGCCGCCATGATGCGCTGTTGACCTGAGATCCTAGTCCACTTATCTTGGGTTTCAATTGCTTTGTTTATTAAAAGCTAAATTTATAAATATTATATAAAGTTTATGTTATATATTACATTAATGTATAAGATGTTATATGTAAAAATTTTATAAAGTTTATTAAAACTAAAATGGTTTATTTTATTGATGGATTTTGCATAAATATAATCAGTGAAGATAAGAGCAGGAAAAGTGTATCAAATATCACCTGTGAAAATTATACAATGGGGGTAGCTAGGTGGCAGTGTATAGAGCACCGGCTCTGAAGTCAGGAGGACCTGAGTTCAAATCCGGCCTCAGAGCAAACACTTGTGTGACCCTGGGCAAGTCACTTAACCCCAATTGCCTAAAAGAAAAAAAAATTACACGATCGATTAAAAAATAAAGTTGACTTTTGTAATTTTTAAAACAAAAAATAAAAAGGAGAGAGAATGAGAGGAGTGTCTTTCTTTGGAGGGGGTGGTGTCAGGAATGGGGCTCCCTTTGAAGGAAAATAAGTATTCCTTTTCCTGGGTTGCCACACCTCTGAGTCATTCTTCTAAATCATGACAATCACCAATAATCAGACCAAATGGGGGAGAGACTTGCACTGGACTTGGGGGAGGTGAGGGGGAGGCCAACTTGGAAAAGCCACTAGCTTGGGGGGGTGGGGCGAGGGCATTAAAGCACTTGAGGTTTTAGTTGAGGCTGGAGGTGGGGCCGGGGAGAAAGCAAGCTTTGGAACTAGAGATCTCCCAAATGGGGCAGGGGACTTCAACCCTCTCTACCTCCCCCCACTCCCCTGGTACAGATGGGCAGTGTAGACACCGAGGTGGCCACACAAATCAACACCTGATGAAGAAATGCCAATCCCTCTGCTTCCTTCCCCTCCCTTTCTCTTCTCTCCCGCCCCCCCCCCCCCACCGGCCCCACAAATTAAAGACGGAATGTCTCAGCCTTGTGGATAGGGAGGTATCCACCTGCATGACCCGGGAGCTTCCTCGGCTTCCTCAAGCTCTTCTCACTGCCCTACTACCTAGGCTAGCTCCTCCAATAAGGAGAGAGCATTGTCTTTGGGTTAGTTGGGTTGTATTACCAAGCAGATCCCCAGGCGCCTCTCGAAGAAATGGGTGTATTTGGCTGGATGATTTCAGGATAGCCAGTGAGCTGAGAGACGAAGCCCAGTCAAGGGACTAGTAGAGAAAGGGAAGGTCGAAAGACCAGTAGAGCTTCGCCCCCCTGGTAGATGGGTAGCTGTACCCCAATCTCCCAGGAACGGCAGGGTCCCCAGAGGCAAAACCGCGTCGGGGAACACGGCTGGCTGTGAGTTCCTCGGCTTGGGGCTCGCTGGGGATAACCACGGGCCTCTTTCAAGGTCCCTCGGATTTATTCGCTGGTCACCTACTAATAGACAGGCTTGCACGGCACTTGGGGAGCACATTCTCCTCTCTGGTTGACCCGGAGGGAAGGGAAGAATGGCCCCTCCAGAGAAAGACCTCATGGGGGCTAAATGCAGATGGAAGCATAGTAATTAAAGAAAAAAAACAAAAAAACCAAACCTTTCTTTCCCCACCCCACCTCCAAGTGAGACCAGTGAGTTCGGGGAGGGTAAGAGAGGAAACTCTCCTTCACTTCAATACAAGAAGTGAGGGTTGGCCGGCGAGGGGTTAGGGGTGCAGGAGGGTAAAGTCCAGGGGCGCCGCGGGGAAGAGCCCAGGAGGGGAGCCGGCGGAGGGGGGCCACAGGGAAGCATCTGCCGGGAAAGCGGAAGCCGAAGGGGTGGGGTCTGAAGTGCGGGCTGTATACAACACTCGGGTGTGCAGCGGTGGAGGACTCACGGGGGGCAAGCGCAGAGGGCACATATGGCCAGACCGGAAGAGCCAGGGTGAGGGGCCGAGCACCCCTGCTGCTGCCCCGTCGCCACTGCCCGACCAAGTACCCGCACTCCCCGGCCTCCCTCTGGTCTTCCCCGCCGCCGTCCCGGAGACCATCACGGCGCACGGTCCCGGTGGAAATGTTATGGAATCAAAATGATCCACCTGACTTCGCTTAACTGCGTTCACGAATTCTTCATCCGTAGACCTGACAGGTATACCTTGTCATGATCCCGATTTCTTTATGGCATTACCCTTTATGTCTAATTCAGGTACCCATTTTGACCTTATCTCGGTATACGGTGTGAGAACAAGGCCACCATTTCACCTTTCTGGGAGCCAAACCTCATCAGGCAGGCGATAGGCGCTAGGAGGATGCGAAGGTGTGGGGAGAGGGGGAGAGGGTGGGTGGAATGCCCTTGTGAAGATTGCTTGGATGACTCTAATGTGAAATGCCATTCATTCTTCCCCACCCTCCACAGCAGCCAGAGGCATAAAGGGCCATATCATAAGCCAATGAAACGAATTTGAAAAATGTACCTGTCAGATCTATGAATAAGGGAAAAGCTGGGGACCAAACAAGGGAGAGGATCACGGGAGGTAAAAGAGATCATTTTGATTCTATGAAATTTAAGAGTTTTTGCACTTGGCACGTGCAATGTGGCCCAAATTAGAAGAGAAGAATTCTTTTGTCTTTCTTGTCCCGGTTCTCCCCCTGCTTTATAACAGGGATAAAGTGGAAATATGCTCAGCACAGCTTCCTATGTATAACTGAGTATATTATTTCTTTCTTGCCTTCTAAAATAGGTGAGGGGAGGGGAGTCGAAGGGTTAGGGTTACTGGAATTTAAATGGAGGTTTTTAGCACCTTATGCATTAGTTTCTCTTTATTATGGATTGACACAAATTTGACTTCTTTTCTCACCAAAATCCTTCCCAATATCATTACATTTCTGAGATTTCTTTCCAGCATTCTGCCATAGGAAACAAAGGATAACCTTCCTGTATTTGTTATAGCCATATTTTCCAATATGAATTTTCTGTTGTTAATTTAGTTCCAGGCTAGAGCAAAATAACTTCTCACAATCACCTTATGAATTCTCTAAGATGTAACAACTTGGGTTCTCTGAAGGGCTCTCTTCATTGATTATATTAACAATGTTTATCTTTTCAGCATGAATTTTCTAATCCTGTATAAAATTACTTTGTTATCTAAGGTCTGGTCTCTGACCAAAGGACTGCTCACACTCAGTATGTTAATAAGGTTTCCCTCCACTATGAATCCTCTGATGCTGAGTAAACTGGGAGCTCAGGCGGAAGGCCTTCCCACATTCGTTACATTTATAAGGTTTCTCTCCAGTATGGATCATCTGGTGTCGAGTGAGTCCTGCCCTCAGACGGAAGGCCTTTCCACATTCACTGCATTCATAAGGCTTCTCTCCAGTATGAACTGTCTGATGTCTGGTAACTTCTGCTCTTAGGCGGAAGGCCTTCCCACATTCATTACATTCATAAGGTTTCTCGCCTGTATGAATCATCTGGTGTCCAGCAAGGTGTACACTTTGGCGAAAGGCCTTCCCACATTCATCACACTTATATGGTTTTTCTCCAGTATGAATTCTCTGATGTAGAGTAAGCTCTGTACTATGGTAAAAGGCCTTCCCACAGTCTTTACATTCATAAGGTTTCTCTCCAGTGTGAATTGTCTGATGGCGAATAAGATGTGCACTGAGGCGGAAGACCTTTCCACACTGATGACATTCATAAGGTTTCTCTCCTGTATGAATTCTCTGATGTTGGGTAAGCTTTCCACTCACATGGAATGCCTTCCCACATTCGTTACATTTATAAGGTTTTTCTCCTGTATGAATTCTCTGATGCCGGGCAAGCTGGGTGCTCAGACGGAAGGCCTTCCCACAATCATTACATTCATAAGGTTTCTCTCCAGTATGAATCCTCTGATGCTGAGTAAACTGGGAACTCAGAAGGAAGGCTTTCCCACATTCGTTACATTCATAAGGTTTCTCTCCAGTATGAACTGTCTTGTGTCGAGTAAGTTCTGCTCTCAGACGAAAGGCCTTCCCACATTCATTACATTTGTAAGGCTTCTCTCCAGTGTGAACTGTCTGATGTCGAGTGACTTCTGCCCTCAGCCGGAAGGCCTTACCACATTCATTACATTCGTAAGGCTTCTCTCCAGTGTGAATCATCTGATGTCCAATAAGGTGCACACTCTGACGAAAGGCCTTCCCACACACATTACATTCATAAGGTTTCTCTCCAGTGTGAATCATCCGATGTCCAATCAAGTGCACACTCAGGCGGAAGCCCTTCCCACATTCATTACATTCATAAGGTTTCTCTCCAGTATGGATCATCTGATGTCCAATCAGGTGCACATACTGGCGAAAAGTCTTCCCACATACATTGCATTCATAAGGTTTCTCACCAGTATGAATCATCTGATGTCCAATCAGGTGCACACTCTGGCGAAAAGTCTTCCCACATAAATTACATTCATAAGGTTTCTCACCAGTATGAATAGTCTGATGCCGAGTAACTTCAGCCCTCAGGCGGAAAGCCTTCCCACATTCATTACATTTAAAAGGTTTCTCTCCAATATGAATTTTCTGATGCCGAGTAAGCTTCCCAATCACAAGAAAGGTCTTCCCACATATATTACATTCATAAGGTTTCTCTCCAGAATGCAATCTCTGAGGTTGTGAAAACTGTGAACTCAGGTGGATGGCCTTCTCAAATTCATTACATTCAAAAAGTTTCCCTCCAGTATGAATTCTCTGGTGGCAATTTAGTTCTGTGATCTGGCAGAAGGCCTTTCCAAAGTCATGGCATTTATAAGGTTTTTCTCTACTATCAGCTGTCTGATGGTGAATAAGACGTGCATTCTGATAGAAGATCTTCCCACATTCATTACATTCATAAGTTTTCTCCTCAGTATGAATCTGCTCATAGGAAGTAACAGATGAATTGTCCTTACAAGGCTTTCCACATTCACTGTGTTCATGAAATCTCTCTTCACTGAGAGTTCCTTTATATTCAGTAAGTTGTGGATTCTGGGAAAAAGCATTCTCATGCTCATTGCATTTATAGGGTTTCTTTCCAGTATCTATTATTTGATGGGAATTCATGGGTGAGCTGGGTTTGTAGATGAAGTCTTTCCTGCTTTCTCTGTATTCACACAGATTCTCTCCAGGGCATAGTCTATCATATTTGATGTGTTCTAATCTGGAGCTCAAAGATTTCCCACTTTTATTACACTTTGGAAATATTTTCTTTGAACAGATTCTGTTACATTTATTTAGGTCTGGACATGGAGTGAAGTTCTTTTTCTGTGCATCATAAGCACAAAGATTCTCTCTCAAAGATACTTTCTGTTGTGAAAAAAGGACTGGCCCCACATGGAGATTTCTTCCATACTTACTACATTCAAGGCCTCTCAATTTATTGTGAGTTTTTCTTTTGGTAATTCTGACATTACCAGAATGTGCCTCTTTATTATTCTTCTGCATCTCTAAGCTGGCCTCACATTTCCAGACTTTTCTCAAGTAGGAGACATAGAAATTATTCCTTACTGATCTTTTATGGGATGATGATTCCATAGAAATTCCCTGATTTGGAGTTGATGCCTTGACTTCAGGCCTAGCCTCCCAATCTGGAAGAAATAAAAAATGTAAATATCCCCTGTATCCATCTGCTACTTACTTAGGCCTCTCTTTTGTCTGCACCAAAAAGAAATATTGTCAAATATTAAAGGGCAAAACAAACAATACTATTACCACCTGGTTGTATAGTCATTTCTAGCTGACAAAAACCTTTCAAACTGATCTTCACAACAATCTTGTGATGTAGGGAAGTTAGTAAATTTTCTAAATGACAAAAGAAGCAGCTAGATGGCCAACTGGATAGAGGTCTCAAGAAGGAGTGAAGAAGACTCCTGGGTTAGGTGCTTACTAGCTGTGTGACCCTGGAAAACTCATTTAACTTCTTCACGTCCCAGTTCTCTCATCTACAAAAGGAGGAAGGTGATTCTGGAAGGCACTTTAAAATTGTACAAATAAAGTGGCTAAAATGCCTATGTCCTTTGACCAACAGATTCATTTGTTAAGCTTCTGCTCAAAGGAAGGGAAGAGGGGACAGAAGAAAAGAAAGAGGGGGATGAAGAGGAAGAAATGGCTAAACAAAATTCTAGAACATAAATGCAATGGAAAATTACTGTGTTGTAAGAAATGACAGATATGATGAGGGAAGCATGAAAACACGTACTGATATAGAGTGAAGCAAATAAAACCAATAAAATGCACACAGATTTTGGGTTAGACTTGGAGGCAATGACAGAAATTGCCAATTATACTGGCAATGACCAATGTAAATGAAAAGAAACACCACCACAAAACAATAAAAAAAAGTGTTACCTAATGAATGTTGCCAAATTTCAAAGACACTTGTAACCAAAAAATATATATATATATGAGAAGACAAACTTTCCCCTGACTCCTCTGTCTTTAATATTCAATCAATCTTAATCTAGTCATCCAATGGTCCCTACCCTCTTGTCTATTAATATGGCTAGAGCACTGCTGTCTTTAAAAAAATTTACAACCCTCTCTTCCTCAGGATCTTATCCTATACATCTCCACCTTTCTCAACAAAATTCCTTGAAAAAGACATCTACATTAATTATCTCCACTTTCACACTTCTTACTCCTCCAAACCTTGCAATCTGGATTCCAATCCCACTCAACAAAACCTCTTATCCCATGGCAACCAACAATCTCTACTGCTATCATTGTCTCTGAAACATCCAAGATTGCTGACTACCTTCATTTTAGTATCTTTCATAGGTTTTCTCTTCTTTTTCTTCCTTTATTAAAAGAGGATTTTAATGGGGCAGCTAGGTGGTGCAGTGGATAAAGCTCCAGCCTTGGAGTCAGGAGGACCTGAGTTCAAATCTGGCCTCAGACACTTGACACTTACTAGCTTGTGTGACCCTGGGCAACTCAGTTAACCTGACTGCCTCACAAAAAAAATAAATTAATTTAAAAAAAAAAGAGAGAGAATTTTATTGATATCATAGTCCCATTAAACAGGAACAAGTCCTTCCTAGGACGGACTATGCAAAGGCACTTCAGTCAAGGGAAGCAGACCAAAGCTCAATTCAAAGACTGCCTCTTGATTTGATCATCTTGTTGGGATGCAAATCAATGGAATAACCATATTTCACCAAGCAATGTGCTCAGTGCAGGTACTACAAAGAGAAAAAGCCAAATTCTTGACTTTAAATGGGGATGGCAGGAGGAGGGGGAGAATCACATGTATGGTTACAAGTAAATAATACATATGAATAGAGTTAATAAAATATCATTTCAGAATGTGGACATTAGCAACTCAGAGTATCAAGAAAGGCCTTGTTTAAAAAGTGTCACTTGAGCTGAGACTTGAAGAGAGGTAAAAGGGGCAGAAGGGAGGGTGAATGGGGCCCAGCCAGTATAAAAACAAGACAGCTCTTCCCTTTCTCCTACTCTGAAAAGATAAAGGCTCAGGACACTTAGCTTTACCTTCCAGACTTTCCTTCTCTTTCTCATACCACCCTTTCTACAATAGGGCCATACATATCCTCTCTACTTCCTACAGGAATTGGTGTTCTAAGAGTGACACACTATAGAAAAAGAGAGCTGGGGACAGGATCTATTAGACAATAGAAACTGAGGGAACCCAAAATAGGCATGTTAGAAACTTTAATTTCATGGGGAATCCAGTGACAAAAGAAAAGAATAATTAAGTATGAAGAAAGTAAATCAAAGAAGAGAAGTCCAGAATAAACAAAAAAGGAAGAGAATAAGAGAGATGGAGAAAATAAATCTTTTAAAACTAACAGAGATAAAAACAAAAAAGGGGAAGAATTAGATAATTAAATTAAAGAAAGAAAGAAAAAGGAAGAAGTTAAGGAAAATTCTAAAACTAAGAAAAGGTGTAACAAATTACTTAAATAGACACTAAAAAAATTCCAAAGCCAACAAATAAATAACACTCAAAATAAACACTAAAGAATAGGTAATAATAATTAAAGGAGAAAAAGATAAACTAGAAACCCCTCCCTCCCAAAAAACTATAGAAATGATAAATAAAGCTAAAAGATGGCTCTTTGAAAAGACAAAATTGATAAAACCTTTAGATAATCTGATTAAAAAGAAGGGTACAGAAAATCAAATGAACAAAATAGCAAACGAACAAGGTAAAAATCACTACAAAACAAGAGCAAATAAAAAGAATAATTCAAACTTACTATGTATATTCTAACAAAATTGAAAGGAAGAAAAAATAAAAGAATACCTTCAAAAATATAAAATACTCAAACTATAAGACCAATAGATGTTTTAAATAATACAATCTCAGAAAAGGAAATAGAACTAGCTTCAAAGGAAATACCAAAGAAAAAAAACTTCGGGTCTTGAAGAATTTTCAGGAGAATTATATCAAACTTTTAAAGAACAATTAATACCAATACAAATTATTCTCAAAAACCAAGAAAGAAAGCACCCTAGTAGGTTCTTTCTGTGAGACAAAATATATACTATATAATATATACATAAAATTAAACTAAGGAAGAATAGTGCACAGAACTAAAAACCAGTATTATTATTATCAATCCAACAATTTTAAATAAAATCCTATCAGTAATTCACCCAAGAATCCATCTATCATGACTAATTTGAAAATATACAAGACTACAAGGATGGTTCAACATAGGAAAACAATCAACATAATCATTTAGAAAGAAAAAACATCTAAAACCACATGATGATTTCAGTAGACGTGGGGAAAATCTTTGACAAAATATAATACTTATGAAAAAAAAAGCAGTGAGTGCCCTTAAAGAGTATTAAGATATTAAAAAAAAAAGTCATGAAAAGTATTTATCTAAAACCAAAAGCAAGCATGATATACAATGGAGATACACTAGAAGCTGCTGTTGTTGTTCAGCTATGTCCAACTCTTTGCTGACCCCATTTGGGGTTTTCTTGGCAAAGATGCTAGAGTGGTTTGCCATGTCCTTCTCCAGCTCATTTTACAGATGAGGAAACTGAGGCAAACAGGGGTAAGTGACTTGTCCAGGGTCACACAGCTGCGGTGTGTCTGAGGCCACATTTGAACTTAGGAAGAGTAATCTTCCTGACACGAGGCCAGGCATTTTATCCACTCCATCACCTAACTGCCCCATACAATAGAAACTTTCCCAATAAATATAGGAGTAAAGCCAGGATGCCTACTCTCTCAACTATTATTTTGTATAGTTCTAGAAAGGTCTCAACAGCATAAGAGAAAGAACTTAAAGATGTAAAGATAGCCAAAGAGGAGATAAAATTATTTGTTGATGGTTTACACAGAAAATCCTAGGAAATTGGTAAAGATGCTGAGATACTTCATGGTTTCAACAGCACTCGAAGCTAGAAAATAAACTCATAAAAATCAAAAGCATTTCTATACAATAACAAAATCCAAGAGGCCATAAAAGAAAGAGAAATTCCATTGTAAATAATAACAAAATGCATAAAACATTTGGGAATCAATATACCAAAACACCCAAAATACTTGTATACATCCCATTACAAACTGATCCTTAAAGAAGTAAAGGACAACTTAAATAGGTGAAGGAATATTGCACATGGCTAGGTCATGCCAATATAATAAAAATGGCAATACTACCAAAGTTCATCTATAGTTTAAATGTTATACCAATCAAATTATCAAAGACTTATTTTATACCATTCAATAAAATAACAACAAAACTCAATGGAAAAAAATAAAAGAACTAGAATATCAAGGGAAATAATGAAAAGAGATAGATATAAAGGAAGAATAGCACTTCTAGAACTCAATATTATAAAACCTCAGTAATCAAAACTACCTGGTATTGGTTAAAAAATAGAAAGGTAGACTAATGGAACAGACTAGACAAGGGAGAATTAGAAACAATGGAAGTCAACAAATTAGTGTTTGTTAAAACTGAAAACATAAACTTAGAATTTATTTGATAAGAACTGCTGGGAAAATTGAAAATCAGTCTGGCAGAAATTAGGCTTAGACTTGTACTATTTTCCACAATATTTTCCACTTGAAATGTGTATCTTAAGATAAAATATCATACTATTTTTTTAAAATTTTTTATAATTTTCACATATCTTTCAAAGCTATGAGGAGATATATTCTTAACCAAACAAGGGATAGAGACAAGTGAGTGAGTGAATGAATGAATGAATAAATTAAGTATTTATTAAGTGCTTCCTATGTATAAAGCACATGATAAGCACTGGAGATCCAAATAGAAAAACAAAAGCCTCTCATCTCAAAGACCTCACATTCTAATGAGGGAGACAATACATATGGAAGGTTTCAGCCACAAGCAGGATGGATATTACAACCACAAAAGATTAAATACATAACTTTGATTAAATGAAACTTAAAATCTACACAAATATAACACACTTAAGATAAGAACGGAAATGTTCTACTGGAAAAAAAAAAAAACTTTGTATCAAATTTTGCTGATAAGCCTAAAAAATGTATAAACAATTAGTGGGGAATTACTTTTATTCATACATATTCATATTTATTAATATATGTGTGTGTGTATATATATATATATGTATATATATCTACATCTATATATTTACATATATAGAACTAAAAGCTATTCCCCACCAGAGAAGTGGTCAAAGGATATAAAGAAGCAGTTCAACAAGGAAGAATTGCAAACTATTAGCAATCACATGAACAAATGCTCCAAAACGCAAAATAAAAAAATGTAAATCAAAACCACCTTGAGGTCTCACCTCATACTCTGGCAAAAACGGGAATCATCGATGCTGGTGGGTTTGGGGGAAGACAGGCTCACGCATTGCTGGTAGAGCTATGAAATGGTACAACCATTTTAGAAAACAATTTGGAATTATGCAAATGAAGTGACTAAAGTGTGCACGCCCTTGGAACCAGAGATTCCACTTCTAAATTTATGCTTCGAGGAAACCCCATATACAACAAAATATTTACAACAGCACTTTTTGTGATAGCAATGAATTAGAAATAAGGTAGAGTACCACTGATGGGGGAACAGCTAAATAAACTGTGGTACATGAATACCCTGGAATATTACTATAGGGTAAGAAATGATCAATGTGATGAATACAGAGAAGCACAGAAAGGTTTATATGAACTGATGCACAATGAAGTAAGCAGAACCAAGAAAACAACAGACACAACAAGTACAATATAAAGAACCATCATGAAAGAAGATTAAGACAATGGTTTGCAACTATAAAGAACAAGCATGGCTCCAAGGAAGAGATGTGAGAAGTCCTGCCACTCTATCCTTTTGCAGTAGTGGGATGTCCACAAGTACTTTACACTGAACGTATTTTGAGACATTTCCATGTGTTGATCAGTTTGGCTGACATTTTCCCTTCTTTACTTTTTTTTTTTTTTTGGCTTCAAAAAAAATACTAGTTGTTATATGAGATGGTTCTTTTGGAGGGAAAGGGAAGCTGGGAAGAATTAGTGGAGGTAAAAAATAAAAGACATCCATAAAAACATATTTTTTTAATTTAAATGAATGTTATAAAATTACAAAGAAAAAGCATGGCTCCAAAGAACCCTTTGCAGGGGTGAGAGGCCTTTGAGTGTCATATATTACAAATATTTGTAGACTTTTTTGATGAATCAACCAGTTATGCTAGGTTTTTTTTCCCCTTTTTATTATTTGTTATATGAGGTGGCTCTCCAAGATGGGGATGGATATGGGGGGAAAATATGATGATGTTATGAAAAGGACATTAATGAAACCTTTGTAAGAAGAAAGAGAAAAAAATAAGAGGCTATTGCAGTATAATGACCAAAGCCTGTACTGACAGAGGCGAGATGAGAATGCATCTATCTTCCTTCTTAGCAGAGGTGGGGGAAGATGAGTGTAGAGCACGACACAGAAAAGTGGACTTTGTGGATGTGTTGCTTAATTTTTCTGTGCTCTTTCTTTTTCTTCTTGAAAAAAAATCCTTTGTTATCAGAGTGGCCCTCTGGGAGACAAGACAGGCTAGAAAAACTGCAAAGCCTCCTCTTGCTAAGAAGTGTGTCCCTGAGGTAGACATTCAAGACATGTCCAAAACACAACTTGTTCCCTTCCCCCATCCCCAACTTTCCCTTCCTGTCCCAGGCACCACCATTGCTCCCAGCTCAGTAACCTGGGCAGGGTCCTCTACTTCCTCCGCTCCCTCCCTCCATATCTTGCTGCCATTTTCCCCTCCACAACACCTCGTTCATCTGACCCTTTTCTTAGCCCTGACAGATACAACCTTAGTTCAGACCCTCATTGCCTCTCACCTGGATTACTACAGCACTCAGGGGTCTCCCTGCCTTGAGATTTCCACCATAAGAATCCCTTCTACCTTGCCTTATGCTCACATCTGCCCATCTCACTCTAAACCCCAAGGACTCCTTACCATCTCTAGATTTCATTATAAACTCCTTATAATGCCTTTCAAGATAGACTGGACATCACTTCCCCTTCTGCACAAGCTGGCCATCTTTCTGCTCATCCACACAACCCTCAGTCTCACACCACAAGAATTTGGAATTGATTCTTCTTTCTAAGTATGATGTGAACAAAAATATCTTGAAAAGAAAAACACCTCATCAGAAAGACAACTAGAAGTGATGTAGAATGAAGATGGCAGAAGTAGACCCTGCATAAGCCCCACAACTAAGGAGGAAGACAAGGTGGCACATCACTAAACACTGAGATAAAACCAAGAGCTTGGAGGGTGATACGCAAAGACAGAAGTTTATTCTAACTCTGTCTGAAGAAATATGAAGAGAGGTGAAGCAAAGGATGGGCAGTAATAACTTACAAGGAAGAAAGAGAGAGATAGACACAGAGCACAGAAAAGATGAGGAGAGGGATGGAAGGCTGGATTTAAATCCTGGCTCGGCCACTTACTGTTCACCTGTATAACCTTGGCCAAGTCATTACATTCTCTGGGTCTTGGTTTTCCTAATCTGTAATATGTGGACATTAGCCTGGATGATCTAAATCAGGCCTGCACAACATGCAGCCTGCAGGCTGCTTATGGGCCACTTGCAGCATGAAAAAGGATTTCCTCTACAAAGAAAAGATGTTTTCCTTTATATTTTTCACTGGCTGCCCGAAATCCTTTGGCATGCAGTCCGTGGGCTGCAGGTTGTGCAGGCCTATCTACATCTATGACCCTGTGCTCTACTCCCTACTATGGGTCCCATTTTTTTTTTCTGAGGCCGAAGGGACAAGTGAGTCAAGAGTTAAGTAACCAGATTTGTCCTGGGAAAAGATCAGACTCCTTAAAAGAGCTTATCCTACATAGCCTAAGCTCTTCTCCACAGGCCAGGGACCTTTGAGGATGGCTCGCTGTCCAATATTTTAAGAGTTTCTCCTGCACTAAGGGGTACAGTGGGTAGAGAGCGCTAGATCTGGGAGTTAGGAAGACCCAAATTCAAATCCAGCCTCAGACACTTACTAGTTGTCTAACCCTAAGCAAATGACTTAACTTCCACCAGCATGAGGATATAATTGCATCTCCCAGGATTGCTGTGAGGATCGGAATGAGATAACACCTGCAAAGTGCTTTGAAACACCATATAAATGCTGACTATCACTATTATCATTAAGGACCCAAAGAACTGTTTTTTGCAATGACTAATCTAATCTGCCTGAAGGTCACTCACTCACCTGGACAGAGGCCTTCTGGGACTTCTCTCTCAGACATCCAAAGTGTTTCCCCTCGTTCTAACTGACGGATCACATCTGGCTTGGAAACGGCAAGTCCTGCTCATTGGAAATGGAAGAGTGCTGGGGACAGAGAGCCCCCTCTGAAAAAACTGAGATCCATCCCAGCCCCTCTGAGAAAAAGTAGGCTTGCCTAGAAGGTCCAGATTACCACCAAGGCCCACTGAAGGAGGCTCTATACTGTGTCCCTAGGAATTATGGGGAATTTGTCTCATGCCCAAGAGGCAGGATTCTTTTCTTGTTTCGTGTTCGTCTTCACATTGGGACTTTAGGGGACAGTCTTGGACATGAGGAAACAGAGACTAGAGGAACGAAAGCCTCAGGGATAACATTATCAAGCTTCCTAGTTTCCCAGTTTATAAAAGCAAACACTTCCTGTAGAATGTCAGCTCTTTGAGGGCAGCCCTTATGTCTCTCTCTCTGTGCATCCCCAGTGCCTGGCACAGAGGAGGTTCTTTATAAATGCATGCTGGATTGTGGAAAGGCCTTTGGGGGATGTAGTGGGGGGGGGTAGCACAAGGCACGCTGGACAGTAACAGCTCAAGAACTGTTCCCTCACCCAGGCAGGCAAGGTTCCTGTAGTTCTCCAGCATCACCTCCCTGTAGAGTTCCTTCTGGGAAGGGTCCAGCTGCCCCCATTCCTCCCAGGTGAAGTCAACAGCCACGTCCCTGAATGTCACTGATTCCTGAAACACCAAATGTATGTCCACTTACCCAGAGCCCATTACTCCGACACAGCTCAGGAGGAGCACAGCTGGCAGAAACTGCAGAGGGTTTTCCTTGCAGTGCTGAGCCTTCAGAGTGTCCCAAGCTGGTAACACGCCAAGTAAAAAAACAAAGAGTTATCTGAAGACATCCCAGCGTGCCAGAAAGAGTCCAAGGGCTTGAGTTCGCAGCCCGCCACTGCCCCAGGCCTGTAAGATGAGGGAGTCGGACCATCTGAGAAGCTGTGGTTGGTGGTCCTGGGCATAACAATGTGGGCAGGGAGTACAAGCCTTCCCTTTTCCTAGAAGCTACAAGAGCCACCTCTGCCTTGGAGTCTGTTTCCTTCAGGAGGTGCTGAATTACACAGGAGCACAGCCTGCTTCTCAGTGTCTCCTGCTCAATTGCCCCTGAGGCTCCTGGGTGGCATTTCCAAATCTACCAGTGGGGCCCTTGTCATTTTTTTTTTTTGTACCTGTAGAGGAGTTTTTCTCAGTATATCTGTTAATTCCTTGCGTTTCTTCTTTTGAGACCTGCCTGCTCCTATCCCCTGGGGAAGAAGCCCGTTACACAGGTGAGAAACACAGAGTGCAACATCCCAGGCACAAGACTGTACAAATCAGAGCTGAGGCTTAATCCCATCTTCCCATTTCCAGGCCCCTGCTTCCTCTATTCTGCAGGTCAAGTACACAAGTGTGTATCATTTGCCTTCAGTTTGCACCTTGTCATCTTAGAAAGCTGGCGGTGGGGGAGGGGAAGGGAACATGCTCAGCATCCCTTGGCCAGGGTCAAAGGCGAGAGTCAGAGGCCAGCACTCTGCTTGATGATGCTTCCCGTCTGTCACCAGCATGTCATCCCATTGCGCTAAAATCACTGAATCATAGGTCACTTAGTCCAACTGCCCAGCTTTACAGATGAGACAACCGAGGTTCAGAGAACTGACTCACTGGAGGTCACATAAATATCGCCGAATCACCTGATGCAGCCCAACCCTAATCCTACAGGGATCCCCCAAGGAAGTGTTCACAGAGCCTCCATGTAAAGACTCCCAATGCGGGGAACCCCATTGACCTCCCTCTAGTGCCTCCTTCAAATATGTGGATTCACATAGCTCCTCATATGGAATGCACTCAAGGTCTTTCTGGACTTCCATGTGTCTGTTCTAGTAATCAGCTTGCTTCAAGCCTAGGAGATGACATCATGCTTCCCTCCTATCTAGGGTTAGTTACAGACTTTGTTTTAGATGCAAAGTTATAGTTTCAATCATAATCGCTGAGCCCCTAGGCGAGAAAAGTCTTCTCTCTTATTTATCCTTTCAGTTGCTGAGGCTACATTGTGTTCACTGGAAATGGCTGGGTAACAAAACCAGAGCTGGTATCACGGCATGTGTGGACAGAGAAGGATCAGGAGAAGTAGCTGGGGGAAGACACAACCTTTCCACGGCACTTCCATGGCTCCCTTGACCACAGCTCAGTCCTACTTCTGCTCCTTAAGGGCACACTAGAATGTGCCAACCTCTCCACTTCCAGACCCACCAGATCTCTAGCTGCTCCTGACACAGCCCCTACCTTTTCGACACGTGTCAGGGCATCCTTAGATGACCTAAGGATCACACAACGGCCTCTTCAGGCTTGGTTTTGACTGTCCAACAAAAACAGGACTAAGTGGGAGCAGAACATCAACGGAAGTGCCCTGGGTGCAACGACCCGGTTATTAGTTGCAGTGGTGCCGGGGGTAGCCCAGGCATGTCTTCTGCCGTGGAAGCCTCCACAGAGGACGCAAACACAGCCTGGGAGGCTTCTCTTGAGGAAGGTTCTTTTTTACATTTCACAGAGCCCTCCCTCACTCTTGCCATGGGAGCAGCTTGGTATTGCTGGATAGTCAGACAATTACTTCTTGCCTTTGGGGGATTAAAACATGTTGTACCTGATCTGAACCTCTCAACCTCATAGTCCTGGACAGTGTCAGTCTGGAAGGCTCGAGGGAGCAGCCCGGGTCCCTTCAAGCCTCTGCCCAGGTTCCCAAATGCAACCCAGGTCTTTTTTCTCCAGATCAGTTCTGGGCCCCACTTCTGATCCAACAGCAGATGCTTTAACCCAATGCCGGCTTTCTTCATGATGTGGGTGAGGCCAGCACCTTGGAGGAATCACGGAGGGAGTGCATAATGTTAGGAGCCCTGATACAAACAGGACAATGCCTGGGCAAACAAAACATCTGGAAGACCCCAGAAAGGATTCTGAGAAGATGGCAGAGTAGGTCAGAAAACTTTCAGCTCTCCAAATTTCCTCCACAGAAAGACAGAACATTGCCTCAGAAGGAATATAGAACAGCAGAAAGAAACAAAGGTCAGGGTAAAGACAACCTAAGAAGACCCCAGGAAAGACCGGACTTCTGGGGGCACAGGTTTAGCCACCTCTGCAGAATCAGCCAACAACAAGCCCCAGAGGCAGCCTCAGCCTTAGAAACTTTCATCTCACCAGCAGGAGAAGATTGAAGGTCCTACACTGTGCACGTGGTGAGTATGTAGCAGGGGATGGGAGCCCTGCAGGCTGTGAGCACTTGGGGGACCACAACGAATACAATCATTTGCAGCACATTATGACAGAGGAGAATCCAGAGTTGGACCCCAAGACAGACCTCAGAAAATGAAAAGGACCTGAGGCTTGGGGCATTATTCCCCATACCTTGGGATTAGAATTTGATCACACTACTAGCTGCTAAAAATAAAACAAAACAAAGAATAAAAATGAGTAAGCAAAGAAGAAAGAACCCAACTATACATGGCTACTATGGGGATAGAGGCGATCTGGGTTCATATTCAGAGGAAGATAATGGAGCTAAAAAAGCCACTCCTTTTTCAATGAGAAACGTCATATGATCCCAAGCCCAAAAAGAGTTCTTAGAAGAACTTAAATAAGACTTTAAAAATAAAATAACAGGGATTGAGGGAAAATTAGAAAAAAAAAGTAAGAGAAATCCAAGAAAATTATAAGAGGCAGCCAGGTGGCGCAGTGAATAGAGCACCGGCCCTAAAGTCAGAAGGACAAATTCGGCCTCAAACACATAACATTTAACTAGCTGTGTGACTCTGGGCAAGTCACTTAACCCCAACTGCCTCACCAAAAAAAAAAAAAGGAAAACTATAAAAAGAAAGCCAACCAACTTGAAATAGATAACCAAAAATTTAAGGAAGAAAATAATTCCTCGAACAAAGGACAAACAACAGAATTGGGGAAAGGGAAGGTAATGATGTTCTAAGAGATGAAGAAATAATAAAACAAAATCAAAAGAATGAAAAAATAGAGAATTTTAAATATCTCATCAGAAAAACAACTGATCTAGAGAACAGATCGAGGAGAAATAAGATAAGAATAGTCAGACTGCCTGAAAATTATGGTTAAAAAAAAGAATACTAATACAATATTATAAGAAATTATCAAGGAAAAATCTAAAGTTCTACAAGAAGAAGGCAAAGTAGAAATAGAAAAAATCCACCAATCACCACCTGAAAGAGACCTTAGAAGGAAAACTTACAGGAATATCATAGGCAAGTTTCCAAGCTCCCAGGTTAAGGAGAAAATATTGAAAGCAACAAGAAAAAACAATTTAAATACCATGAATCTACAATAAAAGATCACCCAAGACTTAGCAGCTACCATGTTGAAGGACCATAGGTCTTAGAATACCATATTTCATACAGCAAAAGAGCTGGGGTTAAATAAAACCAAGGGTAACTTAACCAGCAAAGTTAAGTATAATTCTGAATGAAAAAAAAAAAACTGACATTTAACAAACTGAAAAGACTTTCAGGTATTTGTGATAAGAACAAGCAGAACTTTAGGGAAAATGTGACATACAACATCCAGGAGAAATACAAAATAAACATTAAGGACCAATTGTAACGGTCTCAATAAGATTGAATTGTTTACTTCTTATATATGAAAATATTATCAGTTCTTTTATGACTGTCATTTTTATTTGGGTAGTTTGAAAGAAAGCTTGGGCTAGGCTAAATATGATGGGATGATTTAAAAAAACTGTGTAGGGAGAGATAAAAAGAGCAATTATCTCATACAAATGAGGCAAGCAAGGAAAAACTGATACAAAGAAGCTAGTGGGGGGAGGATGGGTAGTGCTGAAACCTCACTCTCGTCAGGAATGGGTTAAAGAGGGAACAACATATATATCTAGAAGGGTATAAAAGTCTTCTAAATTTAGAAAGAAATAAGAGAGCAAAAGGATGGGGGAGGATAAGGGAGAGATTCTTGGAGGGTTGGGTAGGTAAAGAATAAGAGGGCAAGGCAGCGGATAGAAGTAAAGCAGAGAACTGAAGAGGGATGAACAGGGTGAGAAGGATAAAGAGGAAAAACAGGAAGGAGGAAAATATACAAGTAATTATAACTTGGAATGTGAATGAGATGAATTTACCCATAAAATGGAAACTGATAGCAGATTAAAAGTTTGAATACAACAATATGTTGTTTTCAGAAAATGCTATAAAAATGAGAGATATACACTGACATAAAATAAAGGTCAGGGGTAGAATTTATTACATAAAAAAGCAGGGGTAGTAATCACGATTTCAGACAAAGTTAAATCTAAAAGAGATTTATTCAAATGAGAAAAATAGGGAAACTATACTATGCATCAGTCAGATTATTCAATATTGTTTTAGATCATTTAAAATAACTAGACAGTATAAGACATCTGAGAGTATACTTGCCAAAACAGACACAGGAACCATATAAACATAAAACACTTTTTATACAAATAAAGCTAGATCTAAATAACTGAAGTAATATTTATTGTTCATGGGTAGACAAAGGCAATATAATAAAAAAACAACAATTTTACCTAACTAATCTATTTATGTAATACCATCCCAATTAAATTACTAAAACATTATCTAAGTTGGAAAAAAATAATAACAAAGTTCATTCGAAAGAACAAAAGGTCAGGAACTTCAATGAAACCAGGGGGAAAAAAGTATAAAGAAAGTAGATTTAGTAGTATCAGATCTGAACTATATTATAAGGAGAGAACATTACTGAAATGTAAAATGGATACTTTTGATTAATTTAAATTAAAATATTCTTGTATAAAGAAATGCAGAAAATTGGGGGAAAAACTTTCATAGACAATCTCTCAGATAGAATGTGATTTGGTTGGAATATTGTGGTGGTGTAGGAAATGATGAGCTGGTTGATTTGGAAAAACATGGAAAGAGTGGAACTTATGAAAAAAGATGCCATCCACCTTCAGAGAAACAGATGACAAGTGAAAATAAGCATAGTACAGTCTTACATATAAACATATGAGTATATATGTGTTATATATGGTGTGTGTATCTGAACTTAATGGTAGCCTTCAGGGGGCGGGGGGGCAGGGTAATTAAATAAAAAGCACACAGCAGAGAACAAAAGAAAACCTACAAGGAAGCAAAGAAAAGCTGTACCGCTTGGAAAATAATGCATAGTATTTATTAACATAGGTTTTCTTGAAATGGAAATTTGTTGCTTTATATTAAATCCTCTCTGAGGTTCTGCTGTATACATGGCAATGTTTCTTTTTTCTTTTCTTATTTTGTGCTTAAGTTTAAAATAAATTTTAAAACTTTAAAAAAAATAATTTTTAAAAATAAAAAAAAATAAAATAAAAAAATCTCACAGAATCCTTGTCCATTTAGATCTTCACAAGAAGGGCCAGCACACACTACCCTCTTTTATGCCTCATTTGAGCCTGACAGTCACCTATTCAAGGAACAGACCTCACTTCCTCTCTCTGTCGATCTACCAAGAAACTTTGCATGATCTTAACCTGTGTCTGAAAGAATGTTGGGAAGCTCCCTAAATATTGGCTTTCCATCTTCCAAGTCATTTCTTTTTTTCTGGGAACAAGAAACAGCTCCTTTTACAAGAAAACATCACTCCTAAAATGTGGCATGTCTCTCAAAGTGAGCTAACCCCAGGACTAAGCTATTGACTTATAAGTCAATTATAAGTCAATACTGACTTATAAGACTTGCTCCTTCATTCCTGGGCCTACGGCAGCAGAGGCTTTGGGTTTCCACTCAGGTCACACACAATCAGCCTGTCTGTAAACCAGATGTGTTAGGCTAGTGATGACTCTTGGACCTCAGTGTTCGGGCCCTGCCAAGCTGGACTCATCTACCTGTCTCCTTGTCATGGCTTCTGACACCTCCTGTTGGTGTCTCAGTACCTCAACATTTTCATCAGCAGAAATCGGGGCAGCATTCCTTATAAGGCTCACAAGGTTTTCTGAGGAAAGCATGCTGGAGATCCTAAAGCTTTCTTTCTGTGGCTGCCTCTGGCATTTCTGGTAGCACACTGGCACTAAGAATACAGGCCCGGACCACTTGGCAAATGAATGAATGAATGAATGAATGGAGTGGATGTTAGGTAGAGAAGAGAGGGAAGTGAGGTGCATTCCTATGAAGTCTCTCACGTCTCTGGAGTCCACAGACCTGAATCCTTCTCTAGCTGCGTGACTTTGGGTAAAAAGCACTTGGCCCAGTGCCTGGCACAGAGTAAAAGCTGGCTCAATCATCCATCAAGCTGGTGATTCTCTGGCACTGTGGACAGTGATGCCATTCCAGGAAACAGCAATTTCCCACTCACCTGGGGAGTCCTGGCTGTCAGGAGCACAGAGGCCATTCCTGCCTCTTGAGGAAGGGCAGAGCGCTCTGAATGCAGATCTGCGGAGGAAAGGGGAACCATCAGAGGGAAAAGAATGGCCTGCCTTGCAGGTGCCTGGAACACCTACATCCAGAGTCCTCTCCCCTGTCCCTGCCCACTCATTCACTGCCTGCTAAGGTCAGGGGGAGAGGCAGCTGAGGGCAAAAAACAGAGGGCCAGCTTCAGAGCCAGGGAGACTAAGGGCCAAGCCTGGCGTTTGGCACATGCTGGCTTTGTGACCCTGGGCAAGTCCTTGAACCTCTGGCGACCTGAAACACCTCCTGAGGATGATAAGGTCAATTCCTCTGCCCTGGCTGAGTGGGCTATGGAGGACACAACATTGGGGCCCAACCAACAGTGCCTGGCCCAGAGGAGCTCAGAATCTGGGGGGGCTGGGGAGGAGGAGGTGGAAGAGGAAGAAGATGAAGCAGAAGGGAGGGGGGGCACAAAGAAGAAAAGGACAGCACAAGAGGAGGAAGAGAATGCAGAGGAAGGACGGGAGCAGGAGGAGAAGGGGATGAAAATTATAGGGAGGAGAGAGGAAGGGGGAGGGGGCCGAGGAAGAGTGATGAAGAGGATGGGGAGGAGGAAGAAGAGGAGGAAGAGGGTGAGGATGAGAAGAACGGGCGGGAGAGGAAGAAGGGGGAGATAAGATGAGGAAGAGGATGAAGAAGGCGGCTCAGCTGCGTGGGGGGGGATCCTCGGTCCCCGCCCCCACGCTCTCGGGGCACCTCGAGGAGGAGAAGGGGAAGGGAAGCGCCGGGCGCCGGGGGTGTGGGGGGGTCCCTGTGACCGTTAGGCACATCCGCCGAAGGCTGCTCGCGCGCTGACCCCGCGCTGACCCCCGCACAGACCGCGGCCTTCCGGAAGTGCCCGCCCCTGGAGCCCAAGTCGATGACGTCAGCGCACCCTCCGAGGTCCCGTGACCACACGCCTCGGGGCGGGGAGGGGGGGATGGGGGGTCCCTGTGACCGTTAGGCACATCCGCCGAAGGCTGCTCGCGCGCTGACCCCGCGCTGACCCCCGCACAGACCGCGGCCTTCCGGAAGTGCCCGCCCCTGGAGCCCAAGTCGATGACGTCAGCGCACCCTCCGAGGTCCCGTGACCACACGCCTCGGGGCGGGGAGGGGGGGTGGGGGCGCGGTCGAGCGGGCTGGGAATCGTCATTGGCAGCCGCTGGAGGAAGCGGAAATGCCCTCCTGGAGCGCGGGACCCCCTGCTGGCGGAGGCTGGGGGCGACCCGCAGAGGGCTTCTGGGCCAACCCCAGGGAAGAGGCAGCCCCGCCCCCGCGAAGACCAATATGGGGGATCCCCACCCCGACCCCCAGGCCGCTCGGGGCCCCTGGCAGACGGAGCAGAGACGGGGCTGACGGTCCCAAGGGAAAGACCGCGTGGAGGAAGAGTGCCCCCGGCCGGCTTCCCGATGGACAACGTGGGGCAGCAATGGAAAAGTGACTGCAAAGACCCGGCTTTTTTAAAGTCACGAGGGGTTAAAGGCGGAGGCCCCGCGAGGCCAACGCCGAGGCTCGTGGGCTGGGAACGAGACCGGAAGCCACGTGGCTAGAAGAAAAGCCGGCCGGCCCGAGTGGCCGCTCACAAGGCTCGGAGAAATGGAGGCAGGCCGAGGTGTAGAGGTAGTGAGGTCCGCCATGATGCTGACCAGGACCAGGACCAGGAACCCAAGAGTCTTGGGAATGAATAGCGTTGCTTCCAGCCGGTACCGCAACCATCACCCAGAGACCAACCCCTGTGGAGATGCTGCCCCGCAGCTGCCACTGAAGACTGAGGAGGGAAAGTCCCAGGCCCCGACCGATGGATCAGCATCACAGACGGGCATATTGTTTTATTAATTCATTTTAATTTATCAACAATCACTTCCATAAACTTTTGAGTTTTAAATTTTTCTCCCCCGCCCTCCCCAAGACAGCGTGCACGCTGATATAGGCTATACGTATACATTCCTATTAAACATTTTCACATTAGTGATGTTGTAATAGTATCCTTCCCTCTGCATTCAAACTCCATTCTTTCTTTGGATGTGAATGGTATTTTCCATCATGAGGCTTTTGGAGATGCCTTCGATCCTTACATTGGTGAGAAGGGCTAAGTCTATCAATGTTGGTCATCGCGCAATGTGGCTGTTACTGTGTACAACATTGTCCTGGTACTGCTCACTTCACTCAGCATTAGTCCATACAAGTCTTTCCAGGTTTTTCTGAAGTCTGCCTGCTCATCATTTCTTATAGCACAACAGTATTCCATTCCATTCATATACCACGCTTGTTCAGCCATTCCCCAATTGATGGGCATCCTCTCAATTTCCAATTCTTTGCCACCACACAAAGAGTTGCTATAAATATTTTTGAACGTGTGGGTCCTTTTCCCATTTGTATGATCTCTTTGGGATACAGCCCTAGAAGTGCCATTGCTGGGTCAAAGGGTATGCACATTTTTATAGCACTTTCGGCATAGTTCCAAATTGCTCGCCAAAATGGTTGGATCATTTCACAACTCCACTAACAATGCATTAGTGTTCCAATTTTCCCATATCTTCTCCAACATTTATCATTTTCCTGTTTTGTCATGTTGATGAGGATGGGAGCTAGACCTCAAAAAAATAAAAACTTTGGACCTTCCCACATGGTCAAATCTCTGGCATTCTCCTAATGCTATAGCCCAATCTCTGTTACCCTTAACCTAGCTTGGCCTTCCGTTGTCTTACACCCTATGCCCCCCCCCACTTCCCACCCTTAATGACTGCCCTATGGCTCCCAGCCACTTCTCATCCTTAATGCTACCTAGGCTCCATTCTCCCTTGGCCAGGTGGTTCAGGTCCCTGGAGTTCCATTACCTCATAGACTACTTGGCCGCTCCTAGATCCGTTCCATAGTCTTTCTGTATATAACGTCCATCTTGTCTCCATTAAGATGCTTAGATTCTTAAAATCTAGCCAATAGCTCACTAATGTCAGACTCCTTTAAGAGTCTGCCCAATATGATAATGTTCTAATAAACCTTGTCTTTGGCTGAAAGAAGGCTTAGGTCGAATTCTTTCAGTCAGGATCTGTGTGTTGTGATATTGGGGTCCCAGCACCCCTAAACCTCATCAATGTTGGCCAATCTGATGGGTGTGATGTGGTACCTCAGAGTTGTTTTGATTTGCATTTCTCTAATCAATAGTGATTTAGAGCATTTTTTCATATGACTATAGATGTCTTTAATTTCTTCCTCTGAGAACTGCCTGTTCATATCCTTTGGCCATTTATCAATTGGGGAATGACTTGTATTCTTATAAATTTGACTTCTGTATATATTTTAGAAACAAGACTTTTGACTGGCATCATTTTATCAGTAGAGATGAGATCGCAGAAGCATCTGGACTCTTAAGGACTACAAGACCTTTCCATTTGACTCACAGCTGAAACTTCCCATTTGTGTTGTCTACTCCATTGGAATATGAGGTCCTTTCAAGCGTAGACTGCCTTTTCTTTTCGTATCCCCATCACTTAGCACATTGTTGTTGGGTCATTTCAGGGGTGTCCCACTCCTTGTGACCCCATTTGGGGTTTTCTTGGCAAAGACACTAGCATGGTTTGCCTTTATCTTACAGATGAGAAAACTGAGGCAAACGGGGTGAAGTGAATTGCCCAGGGTCACACACCTAGTGAGTGTCTGAGGCCAGAGTTCAACTCAGGAAGATGAGTCTTCCTGACTCCAAACCCAGTGCTCTGTGCACTATGGTGCCCCCTAGCTACTCTCTTCGTATATAGTAAGTGCGTAATAACGGCTTCTTTTATTCAAGGAAGTGTGGAGGGAATTATGATTTTCATATGTATTAATATGATATGTGTAATAAATATTCTTTAGAATAATTTAAATTTCTCAGCGCTGCTTCTTCTGGCTTGGGAGTCAGAAACTCACAATGCAGCTTGAAATGCTCCATCTGATCCCTGACAACACTCTCATAATCACTACGTTATTGTGCTGTATAGTACTTGTGTACGATAAGTGAAGCAGAACCTGCTCCTGTCACAGAACTCTGGTTCTGCAATGGAGGAAGGGGAGGGGGTGTGTCTAACCCAACCCTAAATGCTCTGGACCCTTGAGATTCTTGTATTGTCCTCTGAGGTGGGCCTGCAATCCCTAGGGATGACTGTATTGTAATCCACCTTCCCCACTTGTGATTATGTATATAATCTGTGCCTTTACTCCAGCATGTTGAGCATTCCTCACTCTGAAAGTAATTAATTGCTTCCTGGCACTCCTCTGACCTGGGTTTAAAATTCTGTTAACAGAAGCAAATACTATTATGTCAGTTACATCAAATCCTACAATCTCATAGAACCTTTTTGATGAGGCCCACAACACAGAACAAGACAAACTTATTACAACAAGAAGAAAAGGAGAAGATGGAGGCCTGTTATCCAGACTGTACTAAGTGGTTGGATTGATGGTCCACCAAATTAAACCATCAGTACATCTGTCTTGAACAGACACTGCAAACAGACTAAAACATAGGCCCAAAACTGATGTAGAAAAAGGAAGGCATTTAGATAAGTTTGGGTGATTTCAGTCATCTCAAGCCATTCCATGATCAAAAAGTCCTTTAGTAACATCTTTGATGGATGATATATAGCTCTGAAATATAAAATGAAAAAATTGATGAAAAATCAAAATTGAGAGTAACCCTCTCAAGGAAGGGCATACGATGGCCTTCAATACATTGCAGAATATTCTCAGAAGTGGACTGACTTGCAAAAAATAAAAGAGAAGATATTGATAGATGAGGAAACATACCACTGGAAAAGGTGGCAGTGCCTGTGATAACAGTTAGACAGCCCAAGTGTCCCACTAATATCCACACAATGTTAACAAGCATCAGGAAAGGCTTCGAACACATTAGGCAGGCATCCCAGGAGAAGGGAGGAGGGAGAAGTTCAGCACGGTGCCCAGGACCCTTCCAGGAGGTCAGCTGATGCTCCATACTTACAGCCAGGGTGCACCTAAGTTTTGGTGGGCAGAGGATGTCCCCACGGAAGGACTCCTTCGGTATCCTTAAAGCCTAGATTGGAAGGCGGCCCCTTCCACACCACCAGGTCAGCAGTCCTGCGGGGGGCTGGGGGGGGGTCAGCAGGGGGCCAGATGTCAATATGCGGAGTCAAGGCACACCTGGGTACCTAGAGCATCTCTGCTGCTGGAGGACAGAGGACATCCATAGGTTGCGGGGAGGGGGCAGGGGTGATCCCTGGAGCACAGCTCGGGGACCCCCTCCCCCAGCAGGAGCAGTAGTGAGCTCACTACAGAGAGGGGACGGGGACAGTGCCCATGATTCTGGACTACGCTTCCCACCAGGCCTTGCGCTCCGGGACAGCGGTTTCCTGTCGTCACTGGCCGGTTGTCATGGAAACGGCATCACGCCTCCCAAGAGGAGGGGAGAGTGAGAGGTATGGTATTACGTAACGTCCGCTTCCGCCTCCGCAGCCTCGTGGGCGGCGGTTCTACCCCTGCGCTCTCTGTCCGTGGCTCCTGGGTCCGAGCTGCGGTCAGCTGGGCCCTTCCCGCCTTCCCCTTGCCCCCCACGCGGGTTTCCTCGCCTAACCTTTTCCTTCTCCCCACCTTTGACCCCCATATGGTCCATCTCGTTCCCTCATTTTCCTCTTCCCTCCTCCGTCTCCTGTCCTCCATCCCTCCGTTCTTTTCCCTCCTGTGTCTCCCCTTCTCTATCCCTCGCTTCTCTTCCCTCCCTCCAGCATCTCTTTACCTCACTGGGCGCCTCTCGTGCGCTTTCTCCGAGGGTCCCTTTCCCTTGTCGGCGCCCTGCCCCTCCCTTCCTTCCCCCTCTCTTCCTTCCTCCTCCTTTGGAGGTTGTGTGGCCACCTCCTGGACTGATCCCGTTACCTAGTCCTACCTAGGTGGCAGAGATCTCCAGGCCGGGAGTCAGGAAGACCTGAGTTCAAATGTGGCCTCACTCCTGTTTGCCTCAGTGTCCTCATCTGTAAAATGGGAATAATAATAGCCTACCTCCCACATCTACAGTGAGCATCAAATGAGGTAATAATCGTAAAGCACTTAGTACAGTGCCGGGCACAGAGTAAGCGCTATGTGAATGTTAGCTATGTTTGTTACTAAGTCCTGTCCATTTTATCTCCCTAACATTCTTCATCCGTTTCTTTTCCCTCCACTCCCAACAGGATCACCCTAGTTTGGGTCCTAATTCAATGCCTGTGTAAAATACAAATTTCTTAGCTTGTGTTCAAAGCCCTCCACAATCCACCTCTTGCCCAACCCTGCCAACACCGTTGGATGTTACTCCCTGTCAGGAAGCCCCCATTCCCCCCAAACTTAGTGCCAGGTGTCTGTTCCCATCTACAGCCTCCATGCAAGTGCCCAGGTGCTCCTGGTGCTTGAAATGGGCTTTCTTCAGATCTGCCTTTCCCCACATGTTAGTGTTTTTCCTGTGTTAGTGTTTTTCCTTTCTCAGTGACCGTCTCCTGACGGTATTTGGACGTCATCATAACCACTGGTTTTAGGCACTAAAGCCTTAGGTAGTTTTCACTTCCTGGGAGCTAGAGGTGGCTCACACCCATCTGAGGCCCTGGGGGATGTTAAGTGGCCACCAGTAGATGTAGATCCATTTGGACAAGGGAAGTCTTTAGGCCACACTGTGCTGATTGTTCGTCGGTGTGTTTTCTAGTAGACCTCGGCTTCTCGAGGGCAGGGACTGTTTTTGTCTTTGTGCCCCAGCATCTCGGCCCAGGCTTGTCCATACTAGGTGCTAGATAAGTGGGGAAGAGGCTTGGGGGGGCAGGAGGGACAGTGTCCCAGTCCAAAGGTAGGACTGGCCGTGCTCATGGTTTGCTTTGCCTCCCCAGCTCTGCCTAACCTATACTCTGCTCTTCCCCAAGAAGTGAACTCTGGAAGTGGGAATGGGCCCAGTGCTCCTGACAGCCAGGACCCCTGAGGTGAGTGGGAAGGCCCTGTCTCCTGAAATCAGCTTCACGTCTTTCTGATATCTCATCCTCATCACCCCCCACCACACACACACACACACACACACACACACACACACACACACACGGCCCATCAGAGAGCTCAGAACTGGAAAAGCCTGAGAATCCAGCTCACGCATTTTTCACCACAGGAAACTGAGGCCCTGACCACACTGGTAAGAAGGAGCAGAACCAGGACTTGAATCCCCAGGAGCACTTTGCTCAGAACCACTTGGAGTCTGGACCATTCCACAGCAAGGGGGAAGGGCATTCCCCCACCAGGCCTACCAGTAATAAATGTGAGAGCCGGAATATCAGGAGGGCTTTGAATGCCTGGTCAGTGAGGTCTCAGTAGTCTAGAGAGTGGCACCCAACGAGGGTGAGATGCCAGGTAAAGTCTCACACTTGGGTGCAGAAAGTCCACTTCCTGATGCAGGGTGTCCCAAAAGTGTACTGCCAGAGCGGATCACCACCCTACAACTTTGGGGTTAGGTTTCTGTGACCCACCAGCTCTGAGGGACTCAGATAGATTGTGGGTGCTAGTGCCCTGAGGTCGGGTCAGTAACAATCAGGAATATCGACCAACAGGTATTGGTCCCCTGGTAGACAGAGGTAAACGTGGCCTCATGGGCTCCCCTTCAGCAAGGTGTGTGTCGTGTACAGGGTCCAGCCACATAGGACTTCTTGATCCAGGCAGAGAAAAGAGAACTTTTTTAAGGAGGGAAGCTGGACCCTGGCCACTCCAGAGACGCAATGCTTCCCCAGGGGATTCTCTGGGGATGCTCACACCAAGCCCTTCCGTGAGATCCAGGGTGACGTGAGCTTGGCCTCCCCTTGGGAAGGGGAGGGTGCAGCCTGGGTCCGAGTCTTTGGACTGTCGTCTCCATACTGAGCAGTCCCATGGTCTGGGGTCCCAGTGGCAAGTGCAGATCTACGCCTGCTTCTTCTGGGCCGCAGGGGCCCGTCCCTCAAGCTATAGAGAACACGGGCGTCCATCACATGTCGTCTCAGCATGCGGCCCCCTCATTGTCTGTTTCTAATGTACATTGCTTCATGGAGCCGGCTTCCCCGTGTAAATCCACTTTTGCATTGGGGTGCTCATACCCATCACGTGCTTCCACTCCCTTGGGGGAGGCACCAGTGTTCAAAGCCTCGCTGTTCACAAGACCATCACCCCCAAAGAACATCAGCATGCAATCTTAGGAGAAGCTCAGGGCCAGGGAAACCAATGTTCTGTTCTCCTTCTGTTCGGTTTTGGGCTAAACTAATGGTCCTTTTACATGGATGGTTCGAGACAGAAATACACACGGAGGAGATCCACAGGCAGCTGCCCACCCTCATGCATTATTTCAGGTCTGGACTGTAGGTGTTCTGCATTGCCTTGGGCTGAAGTCTGGAGGGTGGCCGTGGGTCTCGTGTAAGAGGCGCTGCCGTGGTCTGGAGCGTGACACCATCAGCCTCCCCATCCACCACAGATTCCTCTTTGGAGTGTGACAGTTGAAGTTAATGTGGCATATCTAAAGACAGGATGTAATCTGATGAAAGCTAAGTCCCATTCCTGACTTGGTGGAGCTCTTTGGGAGAGAAGGTATGGACGGGTGACCTTGAACTGTGCAGTGAGAGGAAGCATGGAGCGAAGGGAAGAGATCTAGTAGGGTGACCACAAGCTTGATGGCTAGCCTTTGCTAACCTTAGTTTTCCTCTCTGTACAATGGGGATACCACATTCTGACAGTAGCTGTCTCACAGCATTGGTGGGAGAGATGCTTTTCCCAAGACAGATATGAGTCACAGGATCTTCACAACAGCTCTGGAGAGGCCTTAGAAACCATGGCACCTGACACCTCATGCTGCAGATGAGAAGAAAAGGGACCTGCCCAAGGTCACAGGCAATAAATAGCAGATAGGCAGGATTTGAACCCAGATCCTGTGGCTTCAAATCCAGCCCCCTTGCTGCTATGACATGCTGCTTTCCCTACAGCAGCTGCTGTTTGATGAAATGATTCAGTCTCTAAGATTCTGATATGTATTTGCCTGGATCACAGTGAAGCCAGAATACTGAGAACTGTTTCCCTCCCTTCCCTCTCCCCCTCTACTCCCAGGGCCACTGGAGGACTGGTCCCTGGATCATCACAAAGAAATTCATTTGGTATTTTAGGGGCCAGTGACCTTTCAGGATGTGGCGGTAGTCTTCACTCGGGAGGAGTGGCGTTACCTAGACCCTTCTCAGAAGGAGCTGTACCGAGATGTGATGCTGGAGAACTACAGAAACCTTCTTTACCTGGGTGAGGACGGCCCCTCTAGCCTCAGGCTCGGCACCCCAAACCCCCACCTTCACATGGTTCCTCAACCTCTTCTGGCCAGGGAATTCAGTCAGTCGGCAAATGTTTATCAGGCAGGTGACACAGAGGCTGAGTCTTAGAGGATTCTTCCAGGGACATGTGAAGAGAGATGGCATGCCGGGCAAAGGTGTGGAGGTGGGGAGAGCAGCCTTTAAAGTGTGTGAATGAGGGCACCACTCAAAGTGCTCTGAAAACAGTGGGAAGGACTTAGATGCTACTCTGAGGAGCCACTTGGGAGCCAGCGGAGGCTCTGGGTCAGGCCCGTACTTTAAGAAGATTGCTGGCCTCTGGCCTCTGCGTAAAGGACATGGTGGGAAGGGGAGATCAGGCTCAGGTGATCACAGTGGCCCAGGTAAGAAGGGGTGAAGCTCCTGGGCGTGGAGAGAAGAGAAGAGAAGAGAGTGGAGGACTCGGCAGGGCGTCAGTCTGCGATGGCCATGGGAGGGAGGACCCTGAGGGGGATCCTAGGGAATGGGAGCATGGTGGGCCTTCCACAGGGACAGGGAGGTCTGCAAGATGAGCGGGATCGGTGGAAAGAGAACGAGGTCAGTTTTAGACATTGGCTGCTGGAGATGGGAGACTGGAGGTCAGCCAAAGAACAAACCTGACCAGGAGAGGTCTATCTGTGCTTTCCAAAATGGATGGAGGCACTCACTCTGTACCCTCTCAGCCCCACAGTGATTTTCCTGAAGGGCACGTCTGCCTGGGGCAGCGCCTCATCCCTGCTCAGTAATCTCCAGTGGTTCCCTGAGAAGGGGGAGCTATAATTATCCCTGTTTTATAGATGAGGAAACTGAGGCAGACAATAGTGAAGTGACTTGCCTAGGGTCCCAGAGCTGGATCTCAACTCAGGTCTTCCTGACTCTAGGCCAAGTGCTGTGGACATTGTGGCACCCCCTTACTGCCTAGGAGTTCTTTACTGGGAGCTCTGTAGACTGGTGAGATCCTAGGTCCAGTCAGAAAAAAGCAGAGGGAGGCTCTGCCCCAATTGGTGTAAATGTATGTTTCATTATCTACAGTGCCTTTAAGCACAGTATAGATTTCTTGCTTATTTCTGTTTGTGGTGATTAGTGCCTGAAGCTTAATAGATTCTGTTCCAGCCTCTCCTCCTAACAGTGTCCACCTCACTGGTACCTTTTGCTGTCTTCTTTTTTGTGAGTAAGTGCATCCCATTTACATTCTCTTTGATTATTGTAGTCATTTTTTGTTAAACCAGCATCAAGTCCAGGTACAACTTTTCCTCTTTCTCCTCTTTACAAAGAAAAAGAAGGTAGACCCAGCAGTAGGAATCTAGAATGGAATGAGATGATCAATGCAAAGCACATTGCTAAAGTTAAATCATCACGTGCAGGTTAGGTCTTTTTAGGGTTATGCAGAGTTGGAGGGGGTCTGACCCGTGGCCTTTACCTTCCTCTCCCACCCAGCCCAGCCCAGATCACTGGTGTTTCCTCTCAGTTACTCCTTTTGTGATCAGTCTCTGTTGTTGGGATTCATTTGACAGGTGGTTGTTGACTCCACGGCTGTAACATCCCATGCCTCCCCTTTCTGTTCCTGTCGACGAATATGTATCTCTACACACTTCAGATATATTTTCAGCCTTCTTTTGCCCAGCTTAGAAAAAATTAAGGTTCATGAAAAGCCTAATTCCCCCCAGCACCATCTCACTGTTTGATTTCTCTTTCCTGGCCTGTGTCAGTTATGAGAGAGAGTAAATTCCTTCCTCTTCCCTGGTTCTCATCCTTTTATCAGGACTTGTCGTTTCCAAGCCAGATGTGATTTACCAGTTTGAACGAGGAGAAGTCCTTTGGAGGCCAGACAGGAGAGTCCCAGGAAGCATCTGTCCAGGTGAGTCTTTGAGAACAGTCTCTCTTCTGGTCAGTAAGGGAAAGCTCCTTTACAGTGTTGGAGCTGTCCAGTCCTGTGTGTGCCAGGGGGGCTTCACCATCACCTCCACAGGAATGTATCCTGCCGACTCCCTGCCCAGAGGCGCCTACAGTCTCAGAGGAGAAAATGCCACTCTCAGCATCTTTGATTGAGAGCTGGAAGAAAAGCTAGGGAGAGCATTCCAGGCATTGCAGATGGCCAGAGAAGACGCCCAGAGCCCAGAGGTGAAGGGTCTTGTTCATGGAACAGCCAGGAGCCCGGGGTCTTTGGGTCAGAGGTATAAGAAGACAGAAGGGGCTTGGGGGCGAGGTTAGGAAGGGCTTGGAAAACCTAACGGAGCATTTTGGTTTTGCTTCTGGAGGTCATAGGGAGCCACTGGGGTTTACTGAGTGGGGGTGACATCATCAGACCTGTGCTTTAGGAAAATCACTTTGTGGCTGAATGGAGAATGAACTGGAGTGGGGAGAGTCTTGAGGCAGGCTGATCCCCCAACTATTGCAACAGCCCAGGTGTGAGGTGAGGAAGAGAGAGATGCTGCAAAGGTGAAATCAACAGGCCTTGGCACCATATTGAATGTGGGGGGTGGGGGGTGAGAGATAGAGGACTCAATGATGACTTCTGGGTGGGGAGCCTGAGGGTCTGGGAGAAGGGCATTGCCTCCACAGTAATAGGGAAAGTAGGAATTGGGGAAGGTCTAGGGGCAAAGACAAGTTCTGTTTTGAACGTGTTGAGTTCAAAATGTGTGAAAGGCGATTGGAAATCCAAGATTGGAGGTCAGTAGAGAGAAGGGGGCAGGAAACAGATTTGAAAATTGTTAGCATAGAGATGGTAATTAAATCCATGGGAGCTAAGGGGATCAGGAGAGAACAGGAAGGTGCCCAGGACAGAGCCCTAGGGGACACCTGTGGTTAGAGGCCTTGGTCTGGAGGGGGATCCAGCACAGGTTACTGAGAAGGGATGGTCAGAGAGGTAGGAAGAGAATCAGGGGAAAGTGACATCTTGAAAACGAGAGGGAAGAGAACATGAAGGAGAAAAGAGTGATCAGCAGTGTCCGAGGCTAAGGAGAATGAGAAGTGAGTCACTGGGTTTGGACACTAAGTCATCATTGGTAACTTTGGAGAGGACAGTTTCGGTGAAATAATGAGGTCAGAAGCCAGATTATAAGGGGTTAAGAGGGGAGTGAGAAGAGAGGAAATGGAGGCATCTCTTGTTGATGGCCGTTTTGAGGAGTTCAGACATAGAGGAGAGACCTACGATGATAGTGGGGATGGATAAAATGAAAGTTTTTTGAGGATAGGGGAGACAAGGACATGTTCACAGACAGTAGGGAGGGAGCCAATAGACAGGGAGAGGTGGAAAACGAGAGAGTGGGGACGATGCAGGGACAGTCTGTTGGAGGAGATGGGATGGACTGTGATTGATTGTGGAGGGAGAGGAGTTGGCCTTGGTCAGGAGTGAGGCTGCCTCAACATGTGGCCTCAGATTTTCCTGTAAAATCTGAGGCAGGGTTCTTAACTGAGAGGATGAGGGAGGGAAAGCCCTGGAAGGTTGGAGGAGGGATGAGGTTTGGAAGACTTGCTGTGGAGAGTGGGAGAGGGAGTTGATAAGGGAGGTATGGTAGAATTGCCTGGCAGCAGGGAGGGCCCAGGTGAGGTTGGATAACATCATTTTGTGGTGGACCACATCAGAATGGTTTCATTCACTTTCATTCAGTAGCAGGTTTGTAGGAGCAAAGGTGGGGGGTGTGGAAGGGATCTGAGGCTGCGACTTGGCAGAGTATAATCAATGAAATGATCAGGGGGCCAGGGATTTAAGAGGACAGTGTAGAGTTGAATTGGGGTCAAGATGAGAAAAAGAGGAGAGATTGGCTAGTGTAGGGTAGAGGGCCTACAGAGAGTTGAGGGGTCAAGGGATTAGAGGTTACAGTGAGAATGAAGAGTAGGGTTATGTAAGGGAGGGCCGAGCAAGAAGTGGGATGCCAGTAAATTATGTGCAGATGAGTGGATCTGGGAATTCTTGAGTGTGGAGGTGGCACATCTGAGGTTAATGGCACAATCCGTCTTTGAACTACATTTCTGTGTGGTTGAAGTAGGGTGGAAGACTAGGTTATGGGAAGCGGGTAGAGTGAGGGACTAAGAGAATCAATAGTTAGGGTAAAGTGCCCTGGTAGGAAGAAAGAAAAATGGTAAGCCATGTACCATGTAGCTTCCTCATTGAGGAAGGAAGGGAAGTGACCTGGGGGTCTGACAACAGTAGATACCTGGATTTTGATTGAGTGACAAAGCTGAAATACCAGAGCTTCAAGGGAGGAGGGGTTAGTGAGTGAGGAAGAGAGGGGGAGGACCTGAAAGTGGCAGTGGGGAGCAAGGGACTGCCAACTCCTGTGCCTTGACCATCGGGCTGAGGAGAGTGAGCGGAAGTGCAGCCAGTACCAGGAGGGTGGCCAGGGAGCCGAGTTTCAGTGATAGCTGGAAGATGGAAGGAGTGGGAGAGAAAGAGGCTTAGGACGAAGGGACATCTATTGCTATGAAAAAGGCATTCCAGAAGGCACAGTGGAGGTGGCAGGTGATGTTTGGTTGGAGGGAGAGGTGGGTGGGAGAGTTGAGGGGGCTGAGAATAAGGAATCAGATAGTGGGCTTTGGGGGTCGGGGTTTGGATGGTGACCTACAAGGGTTCAGAATTTCTGGGATGTGGAGGGTGTGACCAGGTGAGAGGAGACTAGTGCAGCATAAGATGGAAACCCCCTTTCACTGCTCTTTGTTCCTTCTGAAGGCTGGAGATGAGGAAGGGAGCAGTAGCAGAAGCAGGTCTTCCCCCTCTGCCCCACCTGACACAGCAGAAGGAGGGTCTGAGGTCAGAGGGAAGGCTGCTCCTCTTTGTACCAAAGCTTCTCCACATTGAGGTTAGGAGATCAGATTGGCAGCCGGAGGTGGACATTGGCATGTGCTGGCAAGATAGAGGTCACTCTGCGGGCCCCTTACCTCCACCCTTCAGAGGATACAGCAGCATGAGGAGGAAGGCAGGCAGGGGAGGGTGTTGGCCTGGAGATCAGGTGTTGCACCAAGAAGGGAGTGGTCTCCTAGTGCATAGGGAAGATGCTTTGGGACAGATAGACTGACTCCTGCATGCTGTGCCTTGCTATAATAAGGCTTTATCCTTGCGAGAGAACCAAATTACACTTTAATCCATGTCTCGTAAAATAACCTGTAGTTATGGTCTGATGTGTCCTTTACTGAATTCCTTTTTCGCTGTACATATTATATGTTGAAAAGAAATAGTGTTAATTAACTCATTGGTTCTCTTTTCCAAAAGATTTAGAGTCAGAATCTTATTTGTAATGAAATTGCAGAGCAATCCAGTCAGGTTCCTAGTTAATTCAAGAGGTATTCCCTAACTGACAGCTTCCAGATTCTAATTAAATATTTTCAGATGCTGTGAGCTGTCCCTGCCAAAGGAGAGCAGCACAGCATGGCAGAAAGGCTATGAGGATGGAAGGGAGAAGACCCACATTCTGCTTGTGTGCTACTAATTAGCCGTGACCTTAGATCTAAGTCATTAAATTGTTCTGAGTCTCAGTGTTCTCTTACCTCCCTCACAACCTGGTGGTCATGAATCTCACCATGAAAGTTTTTTTTTTTCTTTTGTTAACTAAAAGACTGAAAACAGGGTTTTATTGTTCCACTGTTTAAGGTTTGACAGTACGTATTTCTGGGAGATATATCAAACAATACTAATTGTTTAGCACTTGAGTAAAGGCTCTGTTTCTGTTTTCTTTCTTTCAGCTGGGGAGACTGGGCCTGAGTGCAAGGAGTCAACGGCAAAGTGGAACATTTCTGTGGAGTGTTCATCCCCAAACAGCCTCACGAGTTCTGGTCTTTGTGTCTTCAGCTTGAAAGAACCCTGGGAATTTGATATCAGGTTAGGGGAACAGAAGAGCATTGAGGAGAAAAATTCCCCGGAACAAAAGAAAAGTTTCAAACAAATGATAATCAATGAATGTAATAAATACAGCCAGATCTTCAGTCTAGAACCAAAACTTTTTCCACAAGAAGTATCTGTAGAAAAGAATCTTTACAGATATAATGACCACGGAAAGAGCTTCATTCTGTCTTCAGACTCAAGGAAATGTAATAGAATCTGCTCAAAGGAGACATTTTCTCAGTATAATGAATATGGGAAATCTTTTGACTCTAAATTAGATTTTGTTGAATATCGTAGACTCTATCCTGGAGAGAAACCTAATGATTATAATGAACATGAAAAAGCCATCGATCTCAGTCCATTTACTGATTCCTATCAGTCAATTGATGTTGAAGAGAAAACCCCTAAATGTAGTAAGTCTGGAGAGGCTTCCCCCCAAAATATAAAACTTCTTAAACAGAGAATTCACACTGAAGAAAAACCTTATGAATGTAATGACTGTGGGAAGGCCTTCCGCCTGAAGGAGCCCCTTCTTCAACATCAGAGAATTCATACTGGAGAGAAACCTCATAAATGTAGTGACTGTGGGAAGGCCTTCAGCCAGAGAGGACATCTTACTCTACATCAGAGAATTCATACTGGAGAAAAACCTTATGAATGTAAAGAATGTGGAAAGGCCTTCCGCCTGAGAGATCCACTTATTCAGCATCAACGAATTCATACTGGAGAGAAGCCTCATAAATGTAATGAATGTGGAAAGGCTTTCTCTGTGAGGACAGATCTTACCAGACATCAGAGAATTCATACTGGGGAAAAGCCTTATGAATGTAATGAATGTGGAAAGGCATTCCGTGTGAGGGCAGAGCTTACGCGACATCAGAGAGTTCATACTGGAGAAAAACCTTACGAATGTAATCAATGTGGGAAGGCCTTCCGATTGAGCAAAGACCGTACCCGCCATCAGAGAATTCATACTGGAGAGAAACCTTATGAATGTAATGACTGTGGAAAGGCATTCTGCCGGAGAGAACCTCTCATACAACATCAGAGAATTCATACTGGAGAGAAACCTCATAAATGTGGTGAATGTGGAAAAGCCTTTGGCCTCAGAAGACAGCTTATGGAACACCAGAGAATTCATAGTGGAGAAAAGCCTCATAAATGTAATGAATGTGGGAAGGCTTTCTTTGTAAGGACAGATCTTACCAGACATCAGAGAATTCATACTGGAGAAAAACCTTATGAATGTAATGAATGTCAGAAAGCCTTCCATGTGAAAACAGAGCTTACTAGACATCAGAGACTTCATACTGGGGAAAAACCATATGAATGTAATCAATGTGGAAAGACCTTCCGCCTGAGCAAAGAGTGTAGCCGACATCAGAGAATTCATACTGGCGACAAACCTTACAAATGTAATCAGTGTGGGAAGGCCTTCTGTGTGAAGACAGAGCTTACACTCCATCAGAGGATTCACACTGGAGAGAAACCTTATAAATGTAATCAGTGTGGGAAGGCCTTCCGCCTAAGCACACAGCTTACCCAACATCAGAGAATTCATACCGGAGAGAAACCTTATAAATGTAATCAGTGTGGGAAGGCCTTCCGCCTGAGTACACAGCTTACCCAGCATCAGAGAATTCACATTGGAGAGGAACTTTATGAATAATTAATTGGAAAGACAGGTGATGTGAAAAGCCAACATTTTACCTGACAGTTATATTCATGCCTGGTAGGAATATTACCTGTAATGAGTGTGACAAGGCCTACCTGGGTGTATATATGGCCGAATATAAGCTTATAGTTCTGGAACTGAAAGGGACCCTAGAGATCATCAAACCCAATCCTCATTTTATAATTAAAGAAACTGGGGCCAGGGAGATAAATTATTTGTCCAAGGTCACACAGAAGGGGGGAATATGAACTCGGGCCTCATGGCTCAAGTTCAACACTTTTCTACTGAATCATGCTGCCTTGTCCTAAACATGATAGATAGAAACCATTCCAGTGGCATGAATGTGAAAAAGCTTTCTTCCAAAGTATAGAGCTTTCTTGACAGCGAGTATTCACATCAGAAAAAGCTTCTACATTAAATTATTTGATAAGGCCTTCTGCCTCAGTTTGTATCTGACCCAAAGTCAGAGAATTTATCTTGAAGAGAAATTTTATGAATGTAATTAACATAGGAAGGCCTTCCTAAGAGAACAATGTACTCAGCGCCGGAGAATTTGAGAGACAAAACTTAGGAATAAATGAATGTGGGACAGTATTGCCTATGAATGCAGAGCTTACTTGACATCACAGAATTCATACTAGAGAAATTTTTTTTTAAAAAACGTAGGCCTCTTAATGGAATGAAGAGTTTTACATCAGAGCATTTCTGTTCAAGAGATTCTGATTGGAATGCAGGTGGGAAGACTTCATCAGTGCAAGCTTATGCTGCATCAAAGAATCTACACTACAGAAGGACCTTATGGCTAAAATAAACCCTAGGTCTTCTGCCAGGGTAAAGAGTCTACTCAACCATTAGTTTGTACTGGAGAGATAAACATGATAAACCCCTTCAATCAGAAGTTACACCTTTATTCAAAAAATAGAATTTGCTTTAAAAACAAAAAGGTTTTTTGCAATCATGAGTTCAGAAAGACTTTTTTTTCCTGCCCTATAAAAACATCGATGAGTTTTAAAAACCTCTCCAGCTATATCACATCAGCTTAAACACACAATTCCAGAGTGTTTATATATGTAATTATCCTATTGAGGCTTTAGGCAAAAACCACTGTCATTTCCCAATAAATGGATGAATAAAAAACATTTATTAAATTCTTAACACATGCTAAGTACTGTGACTATCAATACAAAAAGCACGCGGGGGGTAGCTAGGTGGTGCAGTGAATAGAGCTCCAGCCTTAAAGTCAGGAGGACCCGAGTTCAAATCCAGCCTCAGACACTTGTGTGACCCTGGGCAAGTCACGTAACCCTGATTGCCTCACCAAAAAGCAAAAAAAAAAAAAAAAAAAGCAAGCAGGGTTAGAGTTAGATGACTGGCTTCAAACTGCTTACATTCTAAGCGTAGGAGAATGCAGAGAGTAGTTGCATCCTGGGAAAAGTGTTTTGCTCTGGAGAGTGGAGCTATAGGGCAATTGATCGCACACATCTTTTTCTAAAAAGTAGTGTTGATTTGATTACCATATAGCTAGATTTGTCTTGGACAAATGCTGCAAACACACAAATGGATAACTAATTGGGGCCAGAATAAGTGTAGCCTATCATATGGAGTATCACCACACACCTGCCAATTATGAAATATTCATAAAAGCAATTTTGTGGTACCCCCAAAACATGGATATATCATTGGTTAGGCTAAGTAAACTATGGTATGTTAATGTAATTCAATGTTTTTGTCCCGTGAGAAATTATGAATGTGAGAAATTTGGTGATTAGAGAAAGGGATATGAAAGAACAAAAAGGCTGATAATGACCGCAATGATGTAAAGGAAAACAACCCTGAAAAGTTTCAGAATTCCTGGTGGTTTCAAAGGACTGGCAATGAAGCATGCCTCTTCCATTTGGTTAATCAAGTTGCAGAATATGGTGTGCATTTTCAGATATGGCCAGTATGTTAATTTATTTCACCTAACTACATTGTTACAAAGAAGGCTTCTGTTAGTGAGGGAAAGTAATTAACTATATTCACTCTACAATAATGGGTGGATTATAAGCTGATTCATAATCTGAATAGTAGGCACTGTGAATATGTGGGATTTTCCTATGTAGGTGGCTAGGATACACTCCTCTGAGAGATGATGGCTGTTGTCCAAGAGGTCTTGCATTGGGAGTTCTGGGTCTTGATTTGAATATCACAGTGTCGGGGCAGCTAGGTGGCATAGTTAATAGAGCTCTGGCCTTGTAGTCAGGAAGACCTGAGTTCAAATCCAGCCTCAGACACTTAACACTTACTAGCTGTGTGACCCTGGGCAAGTCACTCAACCCCAATTGCCTCACCAAAAAAAAAAAAAAAAGAAAAGCGCAGTGTCCACAAATGAAAGCACGCAGAGGACCTCCTTATCAACAGGAAGTCCCTCTTCATCTTGGATTTTTTGTGAAAAGTTGCCATTTATGCCTTTGCTGATAATAATAATCAGAGGGTCATTGAACATATTATATAATAAGAAAGAACTTGACATTAACCAGCAATGCTTAGTGTTTAGGGCAACTGGGTGGTGAAGTGGATAGAGTGCCAGCCCTAGAATCAGGAGGACCTGAGTTTATATCTGGCCTCATTCAGTAGCTGTGTGACTGGGCAAATCACTTAACCCTATCTGGCTCAGTTTTCTCATCCATAAAATGAACTGGAGAAGGAAATGGCAAACTACTCCAGTATCCTTGTCAAGAAAACCCCAAATGAGATCACAAAGATTTAGACACAACTAATTGACTAAACAACAAAAAATGAGTCTTTGGATCTAGTCATTCAGCCAGTTACCAATCTATCTTACTGTTGTATGGCCTAACTCAAACTTAGAATTAAAAATTAAATGAGTTGTCCTCCCCAAATAGCTTTTGTTTATATTGAATATGCACTGTATTAGAAATTGAAACATCTTAGCATTTTTTGTGAAAATAATTTTGACATTACAGACATTCTGAAAGAGGGTTAAATCAATCAAACATTAAGCACCTACTGTGTGTCAGGCACTGTGCTATGTACTGGGGATACAAAGAAAGGCAAAAATCAGTTCTTATCATTGAGGAGCTCACAGTCTAATGGGGAGGTGGGAGAAAATGCAAATGGGGATTCCCAGACCACATTTCGAGGACCAATGATCTAGCCTGTATCCTTCCACTTTTTCCATAATAGCATGAAAGACTATCAAAGTTTGCTAAAACCTAGGCCAACAGCTCTACCAGTCTGTCCAAGAAGGAAATAAGATTGATCCTACATGCCAGGTTCTTGATGAAACTGATGGGTGGTTGGGTGCCTGTGCTTGGACCCCAATTTTCTCCCTGGCCTCAGAAACACTATCCCTGACAATTTCCCTCCAACCCAAGGACCCTATATCTCTCAGTGATTCATGAGTGAGTCCAGTGAGGTGAACTATCTCTCCCTGTTACAAGAATAAGCTGACCTCTGTAGAATTTCCCTTATGTAAACAGGACTATCTTGTACCAGCAGAGCTATCAATGTCCAATGCCCAATGTAAAATCCAGAGGTCAAGCCATAGATGTCAACTCCCAAAACTATCTTGTTTCAGACGTAACAAACCTAATTAGCATACTTGGCACATAATCCACTGCTTTTCCTGTATAAACTTTAGCATCATTCCTATTAGGTTGCAAGTTCCCTAAGGAGTTCTGCCCACCATGGCAGAATTCCTTAAGGACCTCTGCCCACTATATGGTGTAATAATAAATCTTTGCCACCTTGACTCAAAGAATGCTTGAATCTGTGAATTCATTACAGACATCCCCATCCTGTACTCTGGTCCCTTAGGGGGCTAAACCTCTCAGACCTCAACAAAACCACATTTGCTTTCTGAGGTCACTGCTTCTGTTTCTAGGAATTCAGTAACCAGTCTTTTAATTTTGACAGAAAGCACTGTCAAGCTCACCAGGCTGTCAATTGCAAATCCCATTCTTTCTATTAAATTAGGACAAATTTCTCTTTCAGCCTGAGATTCCTCTCCCATCCTCCAGGGTCATTTTTTAAAAGGCCCTTTCCCTCCCCCTTAATCAGTGGCCCATTCTGAGAAAGGGGTGGTTTTTAATGTAGAGTTAGATTTTAATTCCCCCAAATGCCCAGGAGAATGTGTCTCTGAATGAAGTCTGTGATTTAGGATGGAGGAGGAAAAGGGGCTAAGACAAGCATGAGAGTTTCTTGATGACTTAGTGGGAATGTGTGGAGAGGGATATAAGAGTTGGCCCCTCGGGCTTTGGTGTAACAGGTGGGAGCAGGTTTACATTTGTTCATCTTGATGAATCACACAGAATATGAGCCAAAATTATCTGGCTGCTTCCAGTTGACCTGTAGGAGGTTGAAGGAGCCATTTCATGACCCTGTTACACAAGGAAGGGGGCTTGTCTGGGGCTTTAGATGAACATGGGAGATTGGGAATGTGAGGAAAGGTTGTCCTGGGATCAGAGAGGCTTGGACCCAAGACCTGAGTGTGTCCTTTCTAACCAGCATCTCACCAGCTTCACTATGACTTCATTTTGGCATATAAGTATGTCTTCATCCAACATCTTGACCAGTCCTTGGCTGGCTGGCTGATTGAATCTTTGTGAGGAATGTCAGCAGAGGTCCCTAGAGGGAACCTGGAGCAGGACAGAGAATGACACACAGGCCTCTGAGGTCTGGGAGAAGGAGACTTGGTCCCTGGGAAACAAGGAGCAAGAATTCAGGGGGACCCTTTAGAAGATAATGAGCCAGCCCAGTCAGAGCCAGGGTAAGTGTGGGATGGGAAAAGATCACCAAGCAGAGCCTGGGGCCTCTGGCTGGGTCAGGCTGGGCTGGGAGCTCCAACAGGATGGGAGCCCCAAGGACAATGGATGGGACTTCCTCACCTTCCATCCTGGGGCCCTGAGCCTGACAGCAACTAATCTAGAGATCCAGAGGCTGAGAGAAGCAAGGGAAAAGAACAGGTGGAAATGAAATCAATGCAGATTTGGTGCAGAACAACTGTCCTGCTCAGCTCCAAAGGCTCCTGGAGGCCTGGATGGGAATGATGGAAATGACTGGTCCTGCCCAACTCCCCTGGGGCTCCATCCACACCCCCACCCCACCTCCCTGTCACGCTCTCTTTCCTGTGGATCAATGAGCAAAGGAGTCTAGCTGCTCCTGGTGCTGTCCACGGTCCTGGATTCCTTCAGGGGCTGATATTTGCCCTTCGCCTCTGGGGGACTGGACTCTTGGTAGTGGTGGGCTATTTGAATTTGAGAGTAGCTTTTGGGAGACATCAGGAAACAGGAGAGAGAGGCTGTGGTTTCTTTTCTGCTCTTGTGTCCCCTGGAATGGAGGGGATGGAAGGAGTGCTTATTCTGTCCCCCCTCTCCCCTTTCTCCCCATCACTCCTATCCATGAATGTGACTTGGAGAAAGGGCCAAAGAGAGGAGATGCTCAGCTTTTTCCTTCTGTTCCAAGACTGATCTAGCTTCAGGAGGGACAAGAGAGTTGGGTCCCCCAGAATCATGGGGAGGTGCTGCCTCAGGGAGATAGGTCATACCAGACCTGGGTGGCTGTAAGAATCCCTCTGAGATTTACTTTATATCTTGCTATGTTTCAACTTTTTAGTTGAATCTTTAGTATTTTCCAGGTATATCATATTGCCTACAATTACCTCATTCCCTATTCTGATTCCTTCTATTTCTTTTTCTTCCTTTATTGCTATTGCTAGGATTTCCCATACAACATTGAATAATGTTGGTGACAGTGGACATCCTTGTTTCACACCTGATCTTACTGGGAAGGCTTCTAGTTTATCTCCATTACAAATAATGCTTGCTGATGGTTTTAGGTTTTAGGTAAATTCTTTTTATCAATTTAAGGAAAAATCCACCTATACCTATACTTTAAAGTGTTTTTAATAAAAATCTGTGCTGTACTTCCTCAAAAGCTTTTCCTGCATCTATTGATATAATCATATGATTTTAAAATTTTTGTTACTATTATAATCAATTATGTTAATAGTTTTACTTATGTTAAACCATCCCTGCATTCCTAGTATAATCAACAAAAACTCCTCTATATTTGAGGGGTGGGTTTTTCTTGGTTGACATTCTGGTGTCAG